ATACATATATATATATTTCTCAACATACAAATACTCTCATTGCATTTGTTGCTTGATCCCGGTGGTATGATATATGTTATTGTAGTTTTATGATATTCTGATTACTTTTTTTTGCTGTATAGATATAGCGTTTATCATATTGTGTTTCACCTTTTTTTTAATTATCTAGAAAAAAGGGAAAAAATTAAAAAGTAAACAAAAACATAACTAATCTTTTTACTTGATTAGAATCAATGATGATGTTATAAAAATTTAAACGATACTCATTATCTTTCTCTTAGAGAAGAGTCCAGCAAGACTTAGTTAAAGAAATACCACGATTTACTTTCCGTTGATTATTTAGACCATATGAAATGAGCAATTAGTATAGTTATAGCAACAGTCAATGTATTCTCAGAACATAAGTTTTATAAATATATGAATAAATAACAGAAAAACAAAAAGAGATAGTTGTTTGTTTCTTTGATGGATGTTGAAAATATCTGAGTCCAACAGCTTTTAGGAACGCTGCAATATCAGTACAACCTTCACCATAACGTTCCCACAATTTCATTAAACATTGATCAGATGTAACAGTGTTATTTTCGACGTCTCGAAATTGGAGCTCCCAAGTCGTCTCATATTCTTGAAATTGAAAATCATTCCCTCATTGCATTGACTGTCGTAATGAATACTCATTCCTCATTTCGCATGGTCTAAAATCAATGGAAAGTAAATCCTCGGAAAGTAAATCGTGCACTCGAGTTGAAGATATAAGAGAAGTTTTTTTATAAGGATTGACCGAAGGGTCGTCAAGGTCGTGGAAATGAAATTTGAAGTCGGTTTTTGAAATTGTTTGAATAAATAGTCTACTAGTAGTGAAGACACATCGTTTCTACGTGAAAGATCTGAGCGAGTCTCCACACAAGCGTTACTTGTGCTCATTCAAAATTCACAATATTCGAAAAGTCAAATATTGAAGAAAAATACTGATTTTAATTTGTTTTTAGTAGACAAATATATTCTTCGACAAAAGACGCTTGGGGGCAGCATCAGCTTGTCGCCATTAAATTCATTGAACGAATGTAATGACTTTGGCTCATCGTTCATATAGACAAGAGGCGGGGAAACTAATTGTTTTGTTTCACTATCGACATGTGTACACACTTTCGATTAAATATAGCTACTTTTTATAAGAGACTACCCGCTGAAAAAAAAAGAAGAATACATGTTTTCTTTTTTTCTTATACGCAGATGGTACATATAGCATGTCTCTTTAGTTTGTCACCTCGAAATTTATATATAGAAGAATAGTTAAATGAATTATTTAATTTTTTTTCTTGACACTTCAATTCTAACGAATATTTGGTTAGAAATAATTATTAGTATATTGTATCAATTATCGTTCTATATGAGGTGAATTTCTGCTGCAAATCTAGTTCCTGTGCATCAGAATACGACATTAAAAAACCAAATCTATTCATCTGTAATATTTTTATCTTTATCCTATTGTTCATTCAAATAAAAAAAAATCAAATCCGATTATATGACTGTTTATTCAATCCAAGAAAAATCGATCTGTGCAAGTTGTTTAAGTTGTGCATTACATTTCGAATAAAAATCTTTTAATTTCTCTCGAGTTTTTTCTAAAATAGTTGGATGTTGTCGACCTTTATTTGAACCTAAACATCCATTTATTTGTCGAATACATGGAAAACCATGTTTATTTGAATTAAAATAAAAATCTTTTTCTTGAATATTAATTGATATATTTAAAAATTTTTGTACATATTCCAGTTCTTCCCATGGACGTTGAATTAAATTTTCTCCATTAACAAAATGAATTTGTTTCAATGGGAAATATTTTAACCAACGATATAGATACTTCGTATAACATCCAATTTTAACTGGTGTCCATTGAGTAAAATTTGTATAGGAAATTAATTCATCAAATGTGGGATAAGTTTCATGTCGATTTCTAATTTGAACATAATCACTAATTGCACGTATAATTGGATTTCGTAAGATTATAATTAATTTAACTTCAGGTAATGCTTTAGCTATACGTAATGGTGTGTATTTATCAATAAAATAATATGGTGTTTTTTCAATAGTTATATATTGATTATGTTTAGTTATTGGCATTTGTTTTCTAAAAAATGAGAAAATAGACAGATATATATAAGACATCATACTGTGATGATGATAAGATCGAAAAACAAATGAGAGGATGTAATGAAGCATATTTTTTCCTCTTTTTCATCTCTGATCAATTTCCTTATTAACCTCCTGTGGAGAACATGTATTTTCTATACAAAGTAATCTTTTATTTCACTCTAACGATGTTCATATTTATTAACATTTGAAGATGAAGTACTTTTGTTTTAAATTCAAAATATCTCTTCTTGATGTTAACATGGTTAAAGCAAATAGAATCATGTATTTACATGGATGACATCAATAAGTAAAAACCACAGGTCACTAACTATTACACGTTCTCGATGTATTCATTATACATCCGTCTGTACTTAAGTATGACGCCGGAAATAATTTTATTTCTTAGAATTACATACCGATACCATTGAAGACCATGTTGAAAATTGTTGAATGAATCAAAAAAATGTATTTCTGTCGATGAAGCAGCTATAGATGAATGTGTTGAGAGAAATTTTAATAAAGCTCGTGTACCACACTTTTTGACACCAATTATGATTGCTTGTGGAAGATTTTGTGAATCTTTTATTGAAATAAATTCAGATAAACTTGATGATATTGTTAAAATAGAAATAATTGTTACTATGAAGATCATTCCATTATATCAATAGCAAGCTATTCATTACATATATGATGATTATCATTCTTCAACACGAGAAAAGAAAGAGGAAAAAAAAGTCTCTCATTCTTCTCTTCTCTCTATTCATTGATTTATATATATATGATAGAAAAAAAAGTATAGATGATGAAATGAATCAAAAGTATATCATTAATGTTTTTATTCAATAAAAAAGTTTATAATCTTACTTGTCGTCTTTCTACTGAAGCTACTTATTTATGATAGTATATTCAGTTTAATCGCCTACAGGAAAACTATCGATTAAACTGCATGCTATTAACTATGCAGTAAAACAAGCTTCTTATTTTTTTTGAATTTGACATTACATCATAATCGTTATACCGACTTTCACGAGTGTAATATGACGACGAGAGAGATTATTAACCAATTCTATGTAGAAGACGTATTCTTCCAGAGGATTTGAATACTTCAAGTTGAAAAGTTTCAAGATAATTTGATGTAACCTATATATATATATATTAATTCATAAGAAAAGAATTCAACGAACAACGAAGATGTGAAAAAAAGTAATTTGATAGTAGTAATGTTAATCAAATTCATCGAATTGTTGTTTGTTATAACCAGCTCGTTTATTTGCCTGTTGTTGTTTAACCACAATATTGTTCGGTACAGTTGGATTATTAAAAATACGATTATCTTCAATTGTTTTTCTAGGAGATTGGATTGATTCCAATACATTTGCATCATTATTCTTAAACAGTAGAAATTATTTATTTGATTACTATGATAGATATAAATCTACTCGAAGTTTAATTGTATTGCGACGTTTTCGAAAAAATATAAAACCACATGTAAGAGCCAGAGCCAATAGAATCAGAAAAATAATTCCAATTATTATTATGATTATTGTAGTTTTATTGGATTTTTCTTTAAAAGAGAAAAATAAAAGACATTAGAACATATACATATTTTGATAGTATATATATCTTTTAGGAGACTAAAACAAAACCGTACATATTCAATTTCACAGAATAATTAATAATTTGATAAACTAGGAAAAAGCAAATAAAAAAAAATCCAGTCTACTTTTAGATTCTGGCGTAGTAGTAGCAGTAGTTGTGTATTTCGTGGTTACTTTAGTACTAGTAGATGCAGTGATAACATTAGTTACTATCGCTATATAGAGTATATCGTTAGTATCAAAATAAAAAGTAGAACAACATACGTGCAGGTCCTATATGTTGTAGAGCTGTAGCTTCAGCTAAATAGGAAGAATAAATTAAATCATTATTAAATGATAGTAGAATATACTTTGTTCACACATAAATGGATATGCTTGATCGCATCGTTGATCATCCAAACAAACTGTTTCAGTCGGATTTGCATCCTTTGTCAAACCTTTATATAGCACAATAAATTTATAATTTAAAAAAAAGTCTGAATTGTACCAATCCAATAAGCGACACATTCTTCTTCTGCACCTGTATGATTAAATCTTGTTGGTTCATTATATATATATTCATAACCAATAAATGAATCTTTTTTACACCACCAATTGCTTGCACTAGTAAAAGTATGTTGAGTTTTATCAAGCCATTGATATGAACCCACTGAAATATAATAGAAAAATAGTCTATTTTCTGAGCATAGATGAATATCGAAATCTTCTATTTATTATCCAATTATAGAGTAATAGAATCCTTACTTACATCCATTCAAATGTACTGCAGTTGCACTTGTCCATACACGAAGACCTTTATTTACAGACAGAGTACTTTTACTAGTTATATTATATATAAGTGGAAGTATATTTCGATCACGAAAACTAATTAAATCAGCTTTCTTAGTTTCACATATTGATTTTGCGTTTTCGCGTGAAAAGAATGTTTCATACAAACCAATACATTCTGTTTCTATATAAAAAAATATTATTAAATATTAATATTCAAAGATTTATTTTCTATTAACCAGTCATTGTCCAATCATTTGGACATGGAGTACATCGAGCGCCTGTCCAGAAAAGTCGACTTTTTGAATTACATTTGCATTGATTATTATCACAAATCATACCAGGAATATCACATTTATTAGTACAAGCATCATTATATGATAAAGCTATTAGTCATAAATTTGATTCATGGAAAAA